TGTTTAATTAAAAGTGGTCGACAATTAAACAGTGTACATACAGAAAATATTTTCAGTCATACAGGGTGCTCCATTCCTTCTGGACGCTACCTAAGTTCGTTATTTTAAATGGAACACTCTATATATATTACATTTTTGGTTTCTTTCTACAATTTTAGGTCGACTTTGTTAAGAGTTCTTTGTACCTATCTCCAGTAGTTTTTGAAATTTTCAACTGCTTTTGAAAAAAAATATGATTACAACTGTTTGAATTAGACCAAACAGCATCTAAAGCATAAAAGCTAGAAATCTGCGGTTTGGACAGTTCGTTTTAGCACAAATTACCGTATCTGTTTTGCTATGGGCGAAATGTGTATGTTATTCATAGCCTAAAATATCGAAACTAACTTTTGACATCCTTAAAAGACGAATATTTTTGAATGGAATGACCTATTAAAGGATACCATTCGATGCGAAATTAAAAGCCCTTTCTAATCATATAAGGCTTTAAATATTTATCTCTGACAGTTTCCCAGAAAAATCCATTATTTTATATTGAAAAGCTTTAAAAATAAACAGTTCAGGTGTGAAATGGGGTTCCTACGTTTGCATGGGAAAATGGGGAATAATTCAACTTCTGCAAAGGCAGGTTACGACTAGTTTTACCTTTAATGGGTAATTATCTAATTATATTGAGATGGGTATCGTAGTCACTAATTTTAGGTTAATACTTTACTCTTTTTTCACAAAATATATAATATAAAGGATAATGATTTTCAAGACTTTTTGGTCATTCTGCACATTCCTACCTGCATTAGATGTGTTGGTGGCTCCACTTTTATAAAATTATATAGCTGTTCAACTGTCAAAGCAATCTTTCTTAATTTATAAAAAAACCTAACCCTGAGGATGCCTCGCAATTGAATGCGAAACGTTGATTATGGTTTCATATAAATAAAAAAACCTTTTACTCTTACGTAGCCTGATTCCGAGGAGAGTTAAAAAGGTCCAAATCAAATAAATTGAATATTGAGTGAAAATCAATCTGAATGTGAAGGCGTGCCTTTTAATGTATTGTAAAATTTATTCTCTTACTTTTATTTGTTCGTAAGTATGAGAAAACTACTTTGACCCAAATTATGAAAATAATCGCCTTATAATTTTTTCAACAAAACTGAAAACCTCTATTCCTTCCCTTCCACTATCAATCAAAAAAAAAAGAATGGCAAGAATAATGGTGACGAGTATTCTAAATTTTCCAAAAGCTATTAAAATCAATCATCGTAAATTCGTCAGCAGTTGAAGTATTATTTTTATTAAAAGATGCCGTCCTATTGATACATGTTTTACTTACACTTGACCTATTTTTTATAATTTGCAAGACTAAGCAATTAAAAACACAAATGTTTAAAATATGGTTCACCATTATTTGTTAGGAATGTCTCTATAAAAATATTTTTCTTTTTTATTCTACGTACTTCCTCATGAATTTTACTGTTCTTTTATGAATACCTACATACAAAAAGAGTTAGGATTTGCAATAGGCGATTTGAAAAAACAATTGTTATCACAATTTGCGATGAAGCTGCAAAGCCAAACATTTATGAAATGCTGAATATTTCAATGCATATATTCTGTAAAGTTGAAACTGGATTTCATTTTTGTATTATAATTATTAATTAATAGACTGAAATACGTATTTATGTAACGATTAATTAAGATGGAAATTTCAGCAGGAAATTTCTAAACAGCGCGTATGTATGCGTAGGCAAAAAAATTTATATCGAATTTATTAACAATTCACGAAAAACAAGTTTAATACAGTAGAGGTCACAATTAGTATTAATACTAGTGGATCCTCATTAAAACTAGTTTTCCTAAAATTCCTGTGAGTAATGAACGTGAAATTCAATGTTATAATCTTACCTTAAAGTTAGATAAGGTGTTGAGAACATCGCTTACATTTATTTGCAGATGTTTTGCTTAAAGATGTAAGATGTCCACAAAAAAACAATTTGCATGCAATTAGGCATATAAATTTTAAACAAAAATAACATTGTTTTTGTTAAAACCTACATAGTATTGCAACCATGAAGGTAGTTAATCGTTACTATCATTTCAGAACTTGCATTGACTGCGTGATTTAATACAAGTAAAGGTTTTTTTAATTAATTAAACAATTGAAAATGATGATATGATTTAAACCAGTATTTTTTCCTTTCCGAAGACACTAATCGAAATGTTTGGGCTAATTGACATCTTTATGCAAACGGTGCAAAATCTCTAAAACGAGAATACAATGTGATTGTGACCAACTAAGTAATTATTTTAATCTCCAAACATTAATTAGGTAGGTAAAAGTACTTAATAACTGAAGAATCGTTTGGAAAAATCTATTTTAAAAGTCACTTAATTTAATAGCTTTGCCTTAAAAGTTGTAAACTTTGAAAGTTCTTAAAGGCAGCTGTTTTCGTAATTCTAAAGTTTTTAGATTCAAATTTTGAATAGAATTGATTATTAGTTAAGAATACAATTGTATTATTAACATTAAAATACATATATAAGGTCATATATATACGTAACACTTAGGAAATATCAAATACGTATACTTAACGAAAAATTACGTGGTTGATGGCAAAGAATAATTAAAAAGGCAAATTCATTTCTGAACTTTAGAAATTGTTACCTAATGGAAATAAAAACAAAGAGTGTCGTATGAAGACGGTAGGTACCGAATAATTATCCAGTTTTTGTAAATTAAATCTCGTGTGTTATTTAATTTTATTGATAGATCATTATACGGATGCAACGTTGATTTTTCCAAAATATAATAATTATTTGTATATCTTATTGAATTATTTCTTGAGCTGCTATTCAAAATTTTTATTTCCTCAATAATCGCGTTGTGTTTGGGTAGTTGTTAAGTGTAAGTAATACATTCTTACCGTAACTTTGAAACCGTTAAAGTTCTTTTCAAAAGACGAAAAATTGTAACTGTAGAAAACTCATGTATTTGTGTCATATTGACTACCATGCATTTTCTGTATCCTGTTGAAAAAATACTTCTTGAGAAAATAAATGGATTTACGAAGTGTATAAGCAGGTACTGCTGGACTACTCACTAATATAGAACAGTAAAAAAGAGAATACCGACTTAAATTTGACTTATCCTACCTTCACTTATATGTACATCTACTTAATTTTAATTATACATTATGCGTATAATTTAATAATTTGTTTTTCAGCTTCACCCTGATGACAACATCATACAGTTCGATGAAGTGGTTTACGGTCCCCAATTAATCAACTTAGTTTATCGAAGATATTTAATTAGAACGGGTAAGTTATACCACTTTTTCGACATTATAGTCGTTATAAATGCTTATCATTCTTGTAAAAGCTTCAAATATGTTATCATTTAAGGTAATAGAGGAGATGTGCCGAATTTAGAGGTGTATTTTCGGCGACAACCGAATAATTTTATTAGACTTAGACCCCTGTCCATGTAAACATCACGCGTTAACCTTGAAGCTTTCAAGAAAAACACTTACTGAAGAAGAGTTTATAAAAAAAAATAGTAAATGTTTTGTTCAATTTTTGAGCTGCTAGTTTTTAAACGTATTGCATTTACTGGACGTATATAAAAAAAAATATTTAGGTAGAGATGCTCAGTGATTTTAATAAACATAATTTTTATTAGTCAGCATAAAACTAATTTCATCCAAGAGATTACTAAAAATATTTGCAAATATTAGAAATTACTTTTATCTTAAATAAACTAAATTCATGTACTGCCTAGTTAACGACAACCCTCTTCGCTGAATTTACATTTTCACTTTTTATTCCGAGTGGGTGTTTGGTAGTCGATTCGTAAATCTATACGCACGCCAAACGGGAGAAATCTCGAACATTATAGGAGATTTCAAACATCTAGTTCACCTTACAATATTCTATACTTCAGGACATTGCTAGATGGTCAAGAAGATTCTAGCTAAGCGCCACCCTTTAAGTATTAAATAACATTCCAGTAGGTATATTCTCACTTCTTCTAGACAAGTGGTTGGTAGCCAAACACAGGAGCGGTCTTAACCCCTGCGAGGCTTCGGACGGGTAGATATTTTTGAGGCCCTTATCCTTGTGGAATTAGTAATGACCATAATTGATAGGAGAAATACAAAGTTATTAATAAATAAATTAGAATTTCAAATTTGTTTATCGTAAATTAACAAAAACTAATAAACAAAGATTACTATTTAAAAAAATCAGGGTTTCAGAAATGATACTTTCTTAAGTCTCAGAAATTCAAATAAATATTAGTACTATTAGTACTTAAACAAAAGGAAAGATCTTGCTCTAACTAACCACAACAGTTTAAAAACAACGCGGACACGTGTTTCGCTCACTTACACGTTGTGGGCATTTTCAAGGCAAGACTGTCTTGTGTGTCTGTAAGTATGCGAAACATGTGTCTCCGTTGTTTTAAACTGTTATAGTTAGTTGGGGTAAGACCTTTCTTTTTGTTTTTCAGTACGCTACAGTCTCCTATATATTTATTTCACTATTAGTAGATACCTAATATTTTCTAATTGGAAAATTGCTCGAGAACGCGAAGCCCCTGTAAGAGCGAGACTCCGGGCCGTTCGCCAGCCCCAAAGGACGCCCCTGGCTAAACCCACACACCATACACACCAAACTGGATAAATCTTGAACATTATACGAAATTTTAGACTTTTCAAAATACTGATCGAAATATACATATATAAAATGCTCTAATACAGTATCAGAATTCAATACCATCATTCATACATAATAGTTCCCGAACATTCCAGAATGTTCTCGATTTTTCCGGTTCACAATAGAACATACATTCCACTTCAACGCAATCCTAGACATTCAATAGCATTCTGGTTGATGACAATCCCATAATTACATTCAAACTTATCTTAAACTGATGTTTGGTGATTGGTGGTCGACCCGCAAGCTCACACCCACCAAACTGGAAGAAATTCGAACACTATAAGATTCAAAGGATTTCTTAGGAAAGTATGGTCAAAATGTGAAAAAATACCCTAAATCGATCACTTTTAGTCATAATCATAATCATACTCCCACCCATGGAAAATCTTAGTAAAGTTACAAGAAAATGCATTGACAAATTCAATATTAGTTCAATAACTTTTTGTAAGAAACCTTATAAACTTTACTAGAAAGCTTGGAAAATTTTAAAGTGTTATTATGGTAATTTTTCCATTGTCAGTCAAGGCACCCTGATTATGAGACATGACAAGATTTTTCTCTCCGTACACAGTTATTGACATGCTGTCGCCATAATGCACGACAGGGGCTCGGGACTAGTAGGTACTTACTAACTTTGGTGGTATCCGCTGGCTAGTTCTGACTGAAATGTACGATCGCACATGTCAATTTTTGTTTATATATACAAATGGGAAATTGGGTAAATTTAAACTTTGTTTCAAACATGATACTTACTTGAAATTATAAATAACAAACTAACAATTGATTCAGTTTTATAATGAATCGGTTGGGTATTTAATTTGATCAGCTTGAATTCAACCACGGAACTCATGCATTTTTAAAAGAAGAGTAAGATCAGTCATTTATTTTAATACATTAAATACAAAAATAAACTGCATCATAATAAAATCATTTTACACTTATTTTACCTATACAGATAAGTTATAAATTTGTAGCATCTTACAAAAGCACAGTGTTATTAATACTTTGTATAACATATAATATATTTATAAATAAATTGTTTGGGGTTGACTTAACAGATCCTCAGAAATATCTGGCAGTTAAAACCATAGATCTATCCATATAAATCTCTCATCATACAGTACACAATATTTGCGCATATATTTATTTTTGTCTATAATTTCGATACTAATTTTGTGTCGTTTATTGGACTATCAGGTAAAATTTCATGCCACCAGGATGGCCTAGACAAAGCCCCAGGATTACGGTAGAACATACTTTCCAAACGCTCGTAAACCTAGAAAATAAATATTTTCAGAGACGCAATTTTAAAAATAAAACCTTTTGTGACAGGGAGTGCTAGCTAGAAACATTCTAAAAGCAGAAACAGGAGTAAAGAGGGACAGAGGAAGACCTAAATTAGATTACTATTTGTAAATGCTAGGCTGTGAGATGCAGTTTTCGAAAATTGCACAGGAAATGGTTGAGGTGCGTGCCCAACCAATCTTAGGACTGACAACCTTTTGATAATGATGATTGATATAAACATATCTTAATTTTAACACCACATTAGGCTCATGAAGCGAAGTGGAATATTCACTTTGTAGGTACTACATAGTTGTAATGTAGTCAAATTAGTAAAGCGAAATCCACACATACAGTAAAATATAACCCCTTATTTATACCACATATATCTGCATGCAGGGTGTCTTTTAGAAATAATAATAAGATATTCATATTGTAATATGTAACGCAATCCAAAGACAATATTTGTGTGGTCGAATATGTATAATAATTGTGCCGATCATACATATATGCGCAGGGTATTTTTGCACGTGTTTGGCGGCATAAGAAAGGAGCGGTCGATTGTGAAAAGAAGTGCCGACAAAGTGGAAAGGGGTATACGAAGGGGTATGAAAAGAATCAGTCGGGCCTGAGCGAGCGTCTAAGGTGGTTGGTAGTCGATGGCTAGAGCTCCAATCTGTTTTACCACGAGTTGTAGAATTATAAGAGTGAAATCATCATTTTAGTCTTCCCCGAGTGAAGATTTGGAAAATTTTATTCTACTACTTAGATTCGTAAGTCACGACTCATTTATAGTTTTATTATATTTTCGCGTTCAAAGTTAATAAAAGTTGTACCTACACAAAGTGTTCATTAGCTGTTAAAAACATAAAGATTAGAGGTTTTGTAAACTTTCTATATAAAAAGGAGTCGTCACAAAGTAGGAAGATAAAAACGCGTGTTTTTCAATCTGTTCCTTACACTTGGGGTTTGATCAGAAAGAAAAAAAAAGGAAGAAAGAAAGAAGTCGTAACTTTCAATCGTTCGATCTGCTAACCTTAGTCCTGAACAGCACGACGCATTTCGATGTGTGAAATTTTGTTCTTTACCCGAATATGACGTTACCTGTATATCATGCCCAACTACTATAAGACTCAATTTTTTTCACCTACCTTTCCGTCGGATGATCCTAGAACAGAATTAAGGATGAAATCAGGAGGTGCAAGAGCATCGATTATAGTAACGGCGTCATCTTTCAGAGAACTGCATAATTTCAAAATTTCTTGTTTGACTGTGACAATTAATCCGTTATCCGTTGCAAAGCTTCCTTCATAAAAGTAAATTAGATGCTTATCTAGGCTCCACAAACCATATAACAATCCGAGTTTATTTAATGTAAGTACTAAATCTTGATCAGCTCTTTGAATCCTGTTCCAGTAATAGTTCAACGCTGTAAATTCTCCGTAAACTTTTGACAAAATTGCTGCCCTGTACACTTGAGTATTATTTCTTGCATTAAATTTACATAAACCAGAATCTACCAATTGTTTTTGTTTTTCATCCGTTACCTTTACAAGGTACGTGATTAACCATTCGTAACATTCCCATACAACTGAAACAATTTTGAACAGAAATATGAATACTGGAAAAATTTTGGCGGTTGCTGTAGAGTAAACAAAATAACAAAACTACAACGCCAAAATACGACACTTTAGTTGTCCGAAACACTTTTCTCAGTGAACTGAGTTTTCACAGTTTCAGTTCACTTCAGTCCCTGAAAAAGGTAACCTTGTTACCGAAAAGTACGTCGGACAACTAAAGTGTCGTGTTTTAGCGTTGGGGTGTTAAAATAATTTTATGTTCATATTTAAAATAGTTTATTGACAAACAGCAGAAATTATTTCACGAAAGCAAGGAATAACACAAGTATTACTTTATATTAATGAACTATTTATACATATTTAACACTTTTCATATCATTTAATTCTTGAATCACAATCGATATTTTATGAAGAGTAAGGAATTTTTCTTTTTTATGCTACAGCAACATTTTACGTGGGTGTTAATGTATACAAAAATTACATAGGACGCAAATGCGGAAGACCGATAACACAATCAATCATAACGTGAATATAGCATCTATCTAGTTAGTACAACTGGGGAAGTACCAAATATTGTAAGAGATTTGTAGTGAACGCATACCAAAATTCAAAATTTCGATTTTTAAAACCACAGTATGTTCGTTTCTATAACTGAAGGTTTAGTTAGTTCACGGTATATGACGGTCTAGCATAAAGAGTATGCTGGTCACATTACGATATGCTTCTGTTATACGATAGTCTCGGTTCTACTGTATTAGTAGTAGGTACAATTTTAATGTTCTGCTAAGTTAAAGATATTATGGCAGACATCTTTATTTAATTTACGAGTTAAATAAGTGTCAGAAAATAACAAATGGTACGCCCTAATTTTAAGTTATTATAGTTTTTTATTTCATTTCTATCAATGTATTTTTCGGTCGCATAAGCAAAATAAATTATCATTAATTAATTATTTGCAATTTTTTACTTACATTTCTTATCGACTACATCTCCGGGTACTCTTGGTGTGAACTTCTTGGATAAAGTTCGTCTATAGTTTTTGAGAAAAGCGCATGTACCCAACGGACTATTCACCTTCCCTTCTTCTAACAACGAATTCCATTGCCGAATTAACCAGTTACTTGTTTGTTGTATCAAAACATTATTATCACCCTCGTAAGTGACGCAGGGGTCGTTGGTACTTTTTAAGTCACCTAGACGAGCAGATTTTAAAAATCCATAACCCCCACATGCTTCTCTGCATTCTTGTATGCCATCTCGGCATGTCCAGGATATCAGAGGCTTCATAGCTGCAACGGTTGCATGGATTTCCGCTACCAAATCGTTCTGAAATTAAAGACACAACTGTCGAATTTCGTTTATGTTTCAATATCTTATGAGATGAACTTCTTGTAGTTAGCATTTGTGTAACTACAAAACGTTTCCTATAGTAAATACTGGCAAAACACGGCAGAAATTTCCACGTTTACGTATTAATATAATAATATTAATGCGCATTAGGACTTACCAAATTACCTAAGTGCGTTTCTGACGCGCTCTTTTCCACGGAACTGGTATAATCTTCAGCAAATTCAGTCACAAAAATCCTGAACACCGCTGCAGTTGCCATATACGGAAAAAGTCTCCATTGCTTGAATCAAAATCAAATTTATATTATAGGCAAATGTGAAAATGAATGTAAATGTGCAAAGGTATTGGAAAGAGTAGAAGAAAAGAGAAATAGGCGAGAAAGGTTGGTAGGACATCTTCTCAAACATGAAAGGCTAATTAAAGGTATATTAGAAGCAGTAACAATAGTTAAGAAGTATGGAGGTTGACCTAGATTAGATTACTGTTCACAATCAGTTAAGGATGTGGGTTGTTCTAGTTTCAGGGAAATGCCAAGATTAACTCAGGGTAGGAAAAAGAGTGGAGGTGCGTGTCCAACCAGTCTTAGGACTGACGACCTTATGATGATGATGAAGCAAATTTAGTGCTCAATTTTAGTCAAAAACAAAAAACAAGCAAATAACAAAACAGCAGCATTAATAACTTCAGAAAACGTTTTTATTTTTATGGAATCATTGTGGCAAAGTCCCAAAAATGTTTTGAAATTGTAAACACCCAACCAAATAATATGCACAACTTTGCCTGAATCCTACCAAAGATATACAAGTCATGAAATCACTATCAAGACAAAGATAAAGCATTCGGTTTTTAAAATAAATGAAACCTGATGAATAATCAAATAGAAAATTGCCTAGTACAAACACACCTCCAGCGTTATTACATCTTCAACGTTTTGATGAAACGTGTTTCATTATTCAAATAATAACAGCTTTTGTTAGCGAATTTTTCTGTAGACAGATGCAAACTTTTTAACTTACATGTAACGGATATTCTATAAGAGGAAGTTCTTCCTGTTTACTTCCGTCACTTGGTTTGAATTGCCTTCTAACGGCGCCATACCTCACTGCGATTGTAACGCCAGACACCAGCATGTTAGAACATTCCTGCATTATACCTACTCTGGCAGTAGACAACGTTTCAAGAACTGCTCCTAAAATCTTTGCTGGATCGGCTAGACTGCTTTCATAGTTTCCTTCCGGTGTTACATCAGCAGCTCTATTCAGCAAATATTCTCGTGGTATCCTATAATCCTTGAATATGATAAAACTGAAACGGAAGCCAAATTAAAATTAGTAAATATTTCACATTTAAATCTATTATTCTTATGCGTTACCCATTATCTATACCATTAAGTCCTATTTTTTCTCCCATATCACCCACCACGATACCTGGGTAAGACAATAAAGTTTTTGGATCTCGAATTGGAACTATAAATAAATGTAATCCATACGGCTGCTCGTCTATGATTAATTGTGCGAATAACAATGTCCATGTTGCTGTTTTGCCTTTAAACAGAAACAAAGATTTAATTTATTATTATTAATGCGCCACTTCGTATAATAACAAAATAAATATACAAAGAATGAGTTAAACTATTCCATTTTGCATAGTAATAGCTGCAGTTTTATTTATGGAAATATATTAACCGACACAACAGCTCACAAACTTTTTAGTTGAGTCTTGTCACAACTTGTACCCAACTTAACAATTGGACGACAGACCTACAGCATAGGACAGAAATGTCTGTGTTTACCAGTTGAGTTTATAGTTTTGTAATTTTAAATTCGCAGTGACCATCATGGATGAAGAAGCAGCTTTAACCGAAAATTTGAAAGAAAACTAAACTTATATGACAAAAGTAAAAAAGAATAGTGACTGTAATGTGAAAGAGTGAAACACACTCATTCTGTGAAAGTTAAGAATTTTTCTATATGTGCGCAAATCATGAAATAGCTGATTAAACTGGATCCGTAGGGACCGTTGGTTGGTTATTGGATGAATCCAGTATCTTCTATTCCTATTTTTTTTTTATCTCTGCCAAATCCATTTTAACATTTTCTTTAAACTACAGCACAGATGTGGTACCAAACTGTTCAGTTTGATAATGCCCTCAAAATCTACTTTGAACGACTAAATTGTTGTTGAGTCTTAAAGACTGCGTAGACGACAAAGGATTTGGAGGAAGAATGACGTTCATATGTGACGACAAATACTTTTAAAAACACCAAAAAATATTTCGATTGTTACAACATTGATCATGTGTTTTAATGTGAACTTCCAAAATACTAAAACGAACAATTTTGACCAGCCGATTGTAACACTTTTAAAAAGAAGAAGAGAATGCGAAAAGATCAAAACAACCTGAAATTTTTAAAAATCAAAAAGGTGAAGGTGTTCCAAATTTTATCATTAAACCAATTGTAAGCTTCAGTTGTTATACTCCTTACATTTTGCAGTTTACAAAATCAATCAAAATTCCATCTTCTACATCCAATCGAAATTTTTGTAATTTTTTCCGAAAATTATTTTGTCAAAATTCAAAAACGCTAACATAAATTTAAAGTCGCCCATCAAACCTTTAGAAAACGTGACACATAATCTCATACTGGTATGACGACGTGCCACGAAAATGATGATACCACTTTATTGTATGGCGGCTATGTCTACCGCTATCTAAAAATCCGCCCACGTACAAAATGCAAGGACAATGTTTTATAACGGCCTGTCCATTACAACACCGCTATCCTAGGAAACCGCAGTATTGTTACGCTCGTAATTTCGACGATTTTAATGTACTCATCCATTCAGACGCACCTAATATGTGTAGATAATCTTCGCCGATTATTCGTACCTAAATTTCTCGATGTCGTTAGCTGCCCAATATTGAATACAACTTTTAGTTGATTAAACTAGTTATTATGAAATAACATCCCTTATACAATAATTGAACAGGACTATGGGTATTGGAAAAACAAAATTGAAAAACAATTAGACCATTGTTGATTCGCAACGTTTCGTTTCTATTTCTTGATACTTTCTCAATTAGTTATTACGGTTTGATAAATCTTCGGCAATTGTTTCTTTAAAAAAAACTCAAAACGCATATCCACAGTATTTTTAAAATATTTCATGTAAAGTAATTCTTTAAAAAATTCTACAACCACTCTTCGGTTCCGTATCTCAAAAGATAAAATGGAACCCTTTAAGTTCATACGTTTACTAAGTAACTTTCGTTTGGATTCAGTAATAGCTAAATAATACTGATTCGCATATTTTCAACAATTAGCGTTCAAAAATATTTACATATCTACATAAATTTAGAGGTAGTACTAATAAAACCCGACTATTTTTTAATTTTCTGTCATGTAACATTGGTACCACTGGAAACAACTGGCTATATGTTAGCTTTTCGGTATTACGTAGGACGGTATTACATGATTAGTTAGTACCTATTAAGAAATAAACCATTTTTGAATGGCAAATTTGAACAAGTGATTCAGTTACTGCGTAATGTAACACGTTAAAAATTGTTTATGAAAACATTTTTATCGTAACGTTAATAAATGTATACCTAATAGATATTAATAGATACCTATTTCATACTGTACATTTCACTTTTTACATATGACAAGCATTTTTTTAATGTTACCGATACGAATAAATATTTTTATAAAATGTCATATTTACCTAAATTACCACCCCAACATTTAGCAGCTTGAAAATCTGGAGTATTTATCACAAATTCCTGAGTAGTACGATCGTATGTTGCGGTGGTTTTCATATCTTTGGTATTCGATCCATGGGCGACTTCGGTCAATGACACCGATCCTAGTATCTGTAAAGGAAAATTAAATTATATTTTTTAGATATACTGAAGGCTTTGCAAATAATAACCTGCCTATTCCAGATACCATTAATAACAAATTGATGCCTGTCCGTTCCTAATTTTTCTAACGCTGTTGCCAGCAACAGCATCCCGATCGCTTGTTTCACGGAGACATCGGGAAAACAAATATTCATTGCTTCATTTACAGTCATCAGGTGTCTCATCTGGAATGAAAATATCCTTAGATCTAAACATATCCTAAATGCAAACAAGAGCAAATCAAGAAAAAATAGTAAATTAAAATCAAAATGATTTTGAAAATACCATAAAAGAGAAGAATTTTCATTAAGTGATATTTAATTATTTATTATGATGATCTTGTTTGATTTTGTCGAGGTTCGTCCTAAATTTACCCTTTGTTTATGATTTCCTTTATTAACAGCCGACTTGGGGAGAAAATCTAATTTCCTAAACTGATGTAATCGAACTGCTGCCAGTCGTTTCATCTCATCTGAATTTAACTCTCGTCCGCTATCATGAAAAATAGGATTCTGTTCTAAGGTTTTCCATAATTTTATCTGAAACGATGAAAATACCATTCGACTATAGGTCACTGAAAAAAAATTTAACTCACTTTGGTTTTTAATTGCTCCTCATCTTCAAAAACCAATTTCAATTTTTTCCAATTCAATTTTGAACGTGTTCTGTATGTATCTAAAGGTCCCTTCGGTAAATCCTCAATGAACGAAGTACTGCTAGTTTCCATGATAATCTTAAAAATTGCAAAAATAATAAAGTAATAATAAGTATTTTATTTTTAAGCTCCTCTTAAAATTTAAAATAATAAAAACGGACAAAAAAACGTACTTTTTATTTTATTTGAAAGATAAATTGTAAATAAGTGAATTACATAGTAACCTTGCAAACAACGTGCTTACTATTTTCCCTTCCAACTTTCACGAAATCTTTTTCAGAATTGCTCTTTCTTATCAACGTACAGTGCGAGATTACGAAAGTGAAGTGAAATGAATGAGTTGTACTTTTACGTAATTTGAGTAAATCCTAAAATCTGACTTGACAAACCATCTAAACATATCTGTTGGCATATTTATCTACGTATTTTTCATCTTAAAAATAATTAGTACTTAAAAAAAGACTAAAAATAACTAGGTAGGTAATAGCATTTACTAGTTGATGTTTAGTGAACTACATTACTATTTTACTTTTACCTATTCGAATATTAATCTGTTGAAGTCCCATTGGTAAACATATTGATTGACTGACTAATCTAAGAGGCGCCGGAAAACAATCAATTATTGGGAAGCAGAAGTATTGGAATCGTTTTTCACGTAAATATATAATGCAAAAGCATAATAATACACTTATGATTCATGTTACGTAATATCATTCAAGATTAAGAGATAAATTAATATTTACGATCAAAATACGTTAAAAATAATACCTGCCTACACCTACCTACTAATACATATGTACTGGCAAAATGCAACATGAAATTTTTTGGAAAATGAAATTATACATAAATTTTGTGTATGTGAATTTATTTTCATTTTTTGGCGAGAGACAAACGTTAAAGAATGTACAGTACAATACAATACACTAACAGTAAAACGAAGTGAAATATTTAGACGTAAAATATTTCAATTAATCGAGTGTATACCTTCATAAAATTAAGTATACCTATGTTGTAAAAGGTGTCGGTAAATTCGTGATAATATAATAACAAATAACGTAGTACCTAATATCACGATAAAATGTACACAAGAAGATTATTCAAACACTTCACGTTATCTATACTTCCATTGTCGTTATGTGTTTGCCCTGGTTACGTACATTAGCTAAAAACATATTTATATAGTTAGATTAAATTAACACTAATTACATGTACTGACCTGTATCAATTAGTTTTTGAAACTCTAGTTTTTTTATTCAAATAAAAATAATTTCTTAATGACAAGCAACACGAGAAAATAATAATTATAAATCATTGCTAATTTTAAGGATGTTGACAAATGTGATTCACTGACTGCATTAAAATTACCTACCTACATACAAAACTTTTTCACAAGAAACGTTGTGAACCACTAGGTAAAACAACTTCATTAGAATCGCAAAACAGGTGATAAGGTAAACTCTACTTACTTACATGGTGTTAACCACAAATGTTTTTTTAACGTGCAATCATAAAAAAATATATTTTTCTAACAAAAAATCAATATGGAAAATAGCACGTTCTCTTAAAAAATATTTAATCGTAAGTACTTTAAATAGTACCCAGAGGTATACGTAAATTACCTCCCGAAATAAAGGGAAAGCTTAATTATAATTACATTGCCTCCCACAATTGTTAGTTACCTAATATTTATGTGAAAATTGAGTCCCGGTTGGTAAGTAATAAATCAGAAATGGTTAATTAAAACTTAATGTAAAATACAAATAGGTACACAAAATTTTAAGTTGTAATATGTAACATGAACATTACCCAGGTATAATAAGTTTTATGTTTAACACCACAATGGAAATAGTTTAATAAATTACATTCATGTTGTTCTTGTAAAATTCGACCATTTTTGCGATAATTTTTTTTCATTAACGTTATGGATTTTAATAGTTAAATGCACACTGTAATAAGCTTTTTAAAAAAATAAATATATTTGGATGAGCTTTGTAAAAGGAGTCGTTAAAATGTTTATAGAACAATTCACAAACATTAGTAGTGTAAGTTCCGCTGAATTTTCAACCCAAATACCTATTAATAATCATGATTATGATTGGGAAGCAATTTACCCACACACATACCCAGTTTATTTCTTGCTACTTCCTGGGAGGCAATTTACCAACACCCGTACTTAGTTTATTATAAAAAGGTATTGCAATAAAATTAAAATGACTAGTGCTAGGCAATTTCTTCGAATGTGAATGGGTTTACGAGCCCCTACGGGTCCCCTTGAGCCTCAGCGCTTCGCGCTTCCCCCCTCATCAATTACTACACCACCAGTAGTGTAACTGACCGAGATTCTGGGGGCACCGCTCACCTAAAGTATCTTCAAAATTTAACTCAATAACTTCGCTTTTAACGCAGACAAAAAAAAATATTATGTACGTGCATATGGATTTTTAAAAACACACTTAAACTTAGAGGGTCCGAAAAACCGACTATTTTTTATCGGTCTCGCATGAAAATATATTAAAAACGAAAATTAATTTTTTTATTTACAATTTTTCCAACTTTTGAAATTCATTAGCAATCTATAAAGTGTTTAATCGTGCTGAACTTTTGCAAACTAAATACTCACGTGAAATCGATAAAAAAAAGTACTTAGTAAAAAATTGTCATGATTTAAACCCATCAGGGTACAGTACTTAGTAAAAAATAGTCATGATTTAAACCCATTTAACGCAAGGCCTCTTTGGCATTATTGATACATTAAGGCAATTGAATCACCTTTCACCTAGCGATTGAATGAACTACATTGGCACAATAAAACGGGGGGTTGCATTGACTTTTTTCGGAGGGAACTTGTGCTCTCAGCTATACTACTGTACGCCACTGAGTGTAGGTGGGTAGATACATATATCTTGAATAAAGTAATAAATATACGAAAATAATTGTAATAGGGAAGTCCTTTTATTAACGAAATCCACATTGTTTGCCATTTGCCAAAAAATTATTGTCACGATGTGACGCCCCTGACTTACGACAGGCGTACCAAATCGATAAGTAGAGCAGAAAAATAGGCGACAAAGAGCAAGGCAAGGAATTTTTCTAAAAGGAGAAAAATATTTCAGGTACCTACCAAACATTTTAAAACTGTTCAAATTAGATACGTACATTTTCACAGGTAATTCTCGATAAATGTATGTATCTAATACTAATGCCGCTACACCGCCCGAAGTTTTCCGAAAATTCTTGTTTCTTTTATTACATTTAAAAAGGTCATATACCTACATAACACATTTATTAACAGATATAGCTGTTCTATAATAATATCGTCATTTTTAAAAGTTAGGAAATCCATAATTCGTCATTTATTTCTAGACCATCTGCAGACGTTATTCATTTCAATTAATTAACATAATTAAATACATACAATGTTAACTGTTAATAGAAGTATTATTTATATATGTATTTGGCACATTTTGAAAAAAAATTGCACCTGTTGCCCAAGTACTACTTTTACCAAATAGCCGTAATTCAAAAGTAGCCAGCAATATATAGTAAAACATAGTATTTATTAGCAAGAAATCTTAAATACATATGTATGTAGGCGTATCGTATTTCAAATCCGAATTAAAATTAATGAAAAAAAAAATAAAAAAAATATATTTGCAACACATAAGCGTTAAACAAGTATCTGACTCATTCCTCATCTTAAATTTAGTGGTTTAGTCATATAAAGTACGATATTGGCTGCTATTCGACTTTTAGTAGATCTTGTTAGTAAGCTATGAAGGTGTGTGCACAAGTTGTTCGGTTTTTGAAAGCAACACTTACCGCTAATCAGAAAATTAGCCCATAAAGTACACTACTACAAACTACAACCCCGTACAACATATCCGGTGTTAACCCAACGCACTAAAACGCAACCTTATTTATCAAAGCCATAGATAATGAATGCAATGCAATTCGACAAACTTTGCACGTGGTCCCACTAGATCACGTGAACTCACCAGACTTCCTCGGCTTTTAGGAGTAAGTATTGTATTCCACTCGGTCGAAACGAAAATTCTACACGGCCACGAAAGCCACAGCCACAGAGGCGTAGGAAGTCGTTGGGCTACGTGATCATTTTCATTTCCTTGTCAGAAACGGAAATGAACGAAAAGCAAGCTTTGTGAGTACCTAATTGCATTCGATTGTATTAAAAATGATAATTTTGATATTTTTATAAAAATTAGCAATTGTTTCTATAACATTGGATGTACTTTACATTTAAATTAACACGGAAATTCTGGGAAAGCTGAAATTATCTAGTGTACGAAAAATATTTTTCTTTGTCAAGCAAAAAGTTATGAATATAAAAAAGGTTCCAAGATAATCAGAATTGACTAAAATTTTAAAATTGTTTGAATATTAATTTATCAATCAAAAAGCAACCATTTAGAGTCAGGATATTTTAATTTGTGGTTACACATAAGCAAAACATACTTGAGCATATCCAAAATACCTATTAGCACCAGGAAAATGTTTCACCAACTTACCAATTCTATTTCTCATTCTGTCTAATATTCTAGCTGGGATATGGGTATAACTAATTTTAAGTTAATGATTAACAAAATATGTATACCTAGGTATATTTTAAAGACATGCTAAGAGATTCGTTCCAATTTACATAAGTATTAAGCTTCTTTGAATTATTTCCTTGTTATTTGTACTAGGGAACCAATTGGAATGTTTTTGAAACTTGTCTAGTAATATCTTTTCGACCTAATTTTTTTCCTAAAATGCGTTCTTTTTATTATGTTTTGAAGGGAATGTTTTAACTTATTAAGATAAACCATTTAATTAATTTTCAAAGGGTAACATCTATTAGCACCCACTTTTAATAATTAAGATAAACTTTCTTTTAGGAATTTTACTTAATTAATATTTAAGAATAATTTCACAAAAGGAGAAGGAAGAAAAATTTTTAAAAATTAAAATACTGTTTATATTGTTGATAATTAATTTCATCCCTATTTAAACAGAAATATTATACTTGTTATTTATCGTTTATATTATTGAGTAAACTTATTTTCTATTCATTTTGTTAAAATCCTTGCTTGCTTGCTTCGTCTTATAAAAACATAATAAAGTGCATCAATTATGTTATGTTAGTAATCATTACATTATGCTAATATCTTTATAAACAATTTATTGGTTTGGCAGTTATTCTCTATTTATTTTCTTGAATTTGATACACCCATTTCCTTCAAACTATCAGAATTACAATATTATCTGTACGTAATTCACTATACAAAGCGTTAAATGTTAATTGCTTATATTGTATAATATCTCCACTTGAACTTTGTTAAAAAAACTATTTGCCATAGACAAATTAAGTCGTCGACCTCGCAGACCTTTAAAAGTTAAGGGTCTATGGAATGCACTAAATGAAAATTGGCTTGTTACATACTTCAACTTCCGGTTGGAGCATCTATACTATCCCTTGATACTAATGTATTCATACAAGAGTCAATAAAAATTTCTGAGTAGTACTAAATTTTCCAAAGTAAACAAAAATAACTGATTGACTTATTTCACTTTTTAGCTGTCCAGTGAAGCGGATTTTCGTTAACTAATGCATACGAAATTAATGAGCTTTACGTATTCCCTCCCATAATAAAAAAATAGATTCTTATTTGAAATAATAATTGGTTCAAAGGCTTTCACGGCCGGAATCCATAGTAGAATAAAGATTCGGACTATAGGGCCGTGGTTAGGGTTGCCACCTTTTCAGGCTTTACATAAAGTATACCTCGACTANATGATTAATTGTGCGAATAACAATGTCCATGTTGCTGTTTTGCCTTTAAACAGAAACAAAGATTTAATTTATTATTATTAATGCGCCACTTCGTATAATAACAAAATAAATATACAAAGAATGAGTTAAACTATTCCATTTTGCATAGTAATAGCTGCAGTTTTATTTATGGAAATATATTAACCGACACAACAGCTCACAAACTTTTTAGTTGAGTCTTGTCACAACTTGTACCCAACTTAACAATTGGACGACAGACCTACAGCATAGGACAGAAATGTCTGTGTTTACCAGTTGAGTTTATAGTTTTGTAATTTTAAATTCGCAGTGACCATCATGGATGAAGAAGCAGCTTTAACCGAAAATTTGAAAGAAAACTAAACTTATATGACAAAAGTAAAAAAGAATAGTGACTGTAATGTGAAAGAGTGAAACACACTCATTCTGTGAAAGTTAAGAA